CAGTACTGTGCTGTCTACACTGGCCCTTTTGCGCAAAAGTCTTTCGGAAAAAGACTTTTGCCCGAACGGGAGCAGCATAGTATTTCTGGAAAATCACTGACGATCTTACATGAGATCGTCAGTGCTTTTCCGGAAATTCAAGCGGCCAGTGTAGACAGCTGGCAAGTTTTTCCGGAAAAGCGGCTGATTTTCTGGAAAAACTTGCCAGTCTAGACACAGCAAGGGAAGCTGGGAGTTCGGGGGGAGCCAGCAGGGGGTGGGGGCTGTTTGGAGTGGCCTCGCTTTTCCGCAAAAAAGTCCCGATCGTTATTTTCGTGATCGGCGCTTTTTTGCAGAAAACAGTACTGTGCTGTCTACACTGGCCCTTTTGCGCAAAAGTCTTTCGGAAAAAGACTTTTGCCCGAACGGGAGCAGCATAGTATTTCCGGAAAATCACTGACGATCTTACATGAGATTGTCAGTGCTTTTCCGGAAACTCAAGCGGCCAGTGTAGACAGCTGGCAAGTTTTTCCGGAAAAGCGGCTGATTTTCTGGAAAAACTTGCCAGTCTAGACACAGCAAGGGAAGCTGGGAGTTCGGGGGGAGCCAGCAGGGGGTGGGGGCTGTTTGGAGTGGCCTCAGGAGTGGCTTTGCGAGCCTCACTTTTGGAGGGCAAGAGCTGCATGCAGGTTGCGAGCCACGGGTTGGCCACGTCTGGTGTAGAGGGAGGCATCACGTGGCCAGCTCCTGGGTCTCTGCTGGTCACGTGGGCCAGAACAGCGTGTGCTCCGCTCCCACCCCAGCCTGGCACCCCCCTAGCATGGTGCCTGGAAAGTGACTCCTCCTGACCCCCTTTCACTGCCACTTTGACACGCTCCTCACTCCCCCGCCAGACGCGGCAGGGGAAAATTGTCCCCGCCGGGCTTCCGTCGGAGGGAAACCGGAAATACCAGACATTTCACATGTCTGGTATTTCCTGGTTTTTTTTACCGGACGGAGCCCACAAATACCGGACAGTTCACGTGAATCCCGGACACCTGGCAACCCTAGTATGGGCAGTACAGTCTTTGAGAAGAGAACCATCTTATTGCTCCCCGAAGCACAGGCCCAAGCACCGTGGCCCATAATGAGCTACCCACCTAGCTCTCTGCAACACCCACAGTGATGTGCTGGAGGAGCGTTACCTGAGCACACAACACCGGCATCTTCCCCGTGGTGACAGTTATGTATGCCCCACGGCCGAGCCCTGCATACAGTGAGGGCAGCCTCTGTCCCTGTGCACTGAACCTCATCCAGCCAGATAATGTCAGTTCCGCGTCCAAAATGAGATCTCCCAGGGGCTGATGACGCCGTCCCACAGCCCAGCTGCTGGCACACAACTCTGGCATCCTGTAAGTCCCAGCCGTCATCACACACAGTTCCCCACCGATGGCCGTGAAACACCTCGACTCTCCCAGCGCAGCGATTGGGGCCATTCACCAGCCGGAGCTGAACTGCTTCTGAGATGTTTGCATCTGAAACACCCCAGGGAAACAAACAATCAGGGAGGTTCATGTGAATGTGATCGTTAGTGACACTGGGGATCATAGCATCTTCCACTGATGGGACTGAACACAGCTACCATAGAATCCCAGGGCTGGAAGAGACCTCAGGAATCCTCAAGTCCAGCTCCCTGCCCAAAGCAGGACCAACCCCAACTAAATCATCCCAGCCAGGGCTTTGTCAAGCCGAGACTTAAACACCTCTAGGGATGGAGACTCCACTACTTCCCTAGGGAACCCATTCCAGTGCTTCACCACCCTCCTAGGGGAATAGTTTTCCTTCTATCCAACTTAGACCTCCCCCGCTGTAACTTGAGACCACTGTTCCGTGTTCTGCCATCTGTCACTACTGAGAACAGCCTCTCTCCATCCTCTTTGGAACCTCTCTTCAGAAAGTTAATCATAGAATCATACCATAGAACTGGAAGAGACCTCAGAAGGTCATCAAGTCCAGCCCCCTGCTCTAGGCAGGACTAATCCCAACTAAATCAACCCAGCCAGGGCTTTGTCAAGCCGAGACTTAAACACCTCTAGGGATGGAGACTCCACTACTTCCCTAGGGAACCCATTCCAGTGCTTCACCACCCTCCTAGTGAAATAGTTATTCCTAATATCCATCCTGGATCTCTCCCACCACAACTTGAGACCATTGCTCCTTGTTCTGCCATCTGTCACTACTGAGAACAGCCTCTCTCCATCCTCTTTGGAACCTCCCTTCAGGAAGTTGAAGGCTGCTTTCAAATCCCCCTCACTCTTCGCTTCTGCAGACTGAACAAACCCAACTCCCTCAGTCTCTCCTCGTAAGTCATATGCTCCAGCCCCCTAATCATTTTGGTTGCCCCCGCTGGACCCTCTCCAATGCGTCCACATCCTTTTTGTAGTGGGGGGCCCAGAACTGGACACAATACGCCAGATGTGGCCTCATCAGAGCTGAATAAAGAGGAGTAATCACTTTTCTAGATCTGCTGGCAATGTTCCTTCTAATGCCCCCTAATATGCCATTAGCCTTCTTGGCTTCAAAGGCACCCTGTTGACTCATATCCAGCCTCTCATCCACTGTAACCCCCAGGTCCTTTTCTGCTGAACTGCTACCTAGCCAGTCACTCCCAAGCCTATAACAATGCTTGGGATTCTTCCCTCCCAAGTGCAGAACTCTGCACTTGTCCTTGTTGAACCTCATCAGATGTCTTTTGGCCCAGTCCTCTAATTTATCTCAGTCACTCTGGACCCTAACCCTACCCTCCAATATATCTACCTCTGTCTCTAACTTAGTGTCATCCACAAACTTGCTGAGGGTGCAATCCATCCCCTCATCCAGGTCATTAATAAAGATATTGAACAAAACCAGCCCCAGAACTGACCTTTGGGGAACTGCACTTGAAACCAACCACTAACCAGACACGAGCCGTTGGTCACTACCCATTGGGCCCGACAATCTAGCCAGCTTTCTATCCACCTTACAGTCTATTTATCCAATACATACTCCCTTAACTGGCTGGCAAGAACACTGTGGGAGACTGTACCAAAAGCTTTGCTAAAGTCAAGGTATCTCACTTCCACCGACTTCCCCATGTCCACAGAGCCAGTTACCTCATCATAGAAGCTAATCACATTGGTCAGTGAGACCTATGAAGGGCTCACTCTCTACCACTGATATGCAGACACCTCTAAGGTGAAACAGGGCAGCTGAGAAACAGGTGAGGGAAACAGTGGCTCAGTCACTTAGGCAGGACATGGGGGACAATTCTGCATCCATTCACAAAGGTGCCAAATATTACAGGTTCAAAGCTACTCAGCTAAGAAGTTAATTGGCTGGGGCAATGGGGTTAAGAGCCTGATGCTTGACCAAGTGACCCAGGGCCCCTACTTCTTGTGAACAGCAGCAGGCTCTATTTGACAGTGAATCTGACCTGCAGAACTCAGAATTCTCTAGGCCCAAAGCACCAGGTTGGCCCTCCTGTGTAGCACAGGTCAGAGGCATGCCCCAGAGTACTTCCTAGGCAGATCTCTGAGAAATAACCAAGCTTGATTTTAAAATGGCCAGCAAGGGAGGATGGCCCACAGCCCTTGGTAAACTGTTCCAGTGGTTAATAATCCCCTGTAAATCTTCACTTTCTTTGTAATTTCTCTCTTCAGCTTCCAGCCACTGGATCTGGCTAAGCACTGGATTGTGAGATTGAAGCGTGCTTTAGCATCACATTTCTCCTCCCCAGGATGGTAATTGTAGACTGTGATCAAGTGACCTCTTCACCTTCTCTTTCTTAAGTGAAACAGACTGCTGGGTTCCTTGCATCTATCAATGCAGGGCAGGTTTTCAAATCCTTCTTTTCTGAGCCTATTACCTTCGTCAGCATCCTTCTTGAAACGTAAGCACCAGGACTGGCCCCAGGATCCCAGCAGCAGTCACACCAGTGCCACTGACAGAGATAAAATAACCTCCCCACAGCTACTCCAGAGTTCTCTCTGTATGCATCCCAGAGTTGCATTAGTTAGCCCTTTTGCACACAATGTCAGTCTGGGAGCTCCTGTTCAGCTGATTATCCACCCCCAAAATCTTTCTCTGCATCCCTGCTTCCCAG